TGGGTGTGATCCAAGGAATGAAGGCTATCTTCAAGAAAAAAAAGTATGCATATATATATATATATATATATATATATATGTCAATTAAATTTGTCCATAAAGACTCGATGGCAATGGCTGGAGCACATTTTGATTTTTGTTTTTCCTCTGCTGGCTCTCTCCTTCCTCCTGCCCTGTGCCCCCCGCGGGCGGGCGGGTGAGCCGGTGCGTTTACCTGACTGTGGGGTCCCATCATGCTGCTGGGATTGTGAGGTGGAGGCTGTGCGTGCGGCGAGGGCTGTGACCCCGGAGGACCCTGTGAGGCCAGACAGTAGAGGCAGGTTATAGATCACAGCACATGGAGAAGCGCAGAAGCTTAAAAGAACAAAAATTAAACCAAAACGCAGGGTGGCGGCGGGCGTGCGGGTGGGACTCTGGTTGACAGAGGTGGTGGGGCTGTCCCTTAAGTCCTGGTGCAATGTGTGGATGGCGGGCAGGAGGGGAGGCTGACCAGAACACTCACAGGGGATTCGGAAGAACAAAAAGTCAAACGAAGAACCGTCGTCAAAGCACAGAGGAAGGGGGCTGCACAGAGTCTACCACCTGAGCGGAGTTTGCCATGTTAAATACGTTGGTTGAGATGGGCCCCGGAACACAGTGACACACAGACATGATGCCCAGCAGCCACCCGAATCCAGTGCAAAGTGTGCTTTGTGCCACTTGAAGAGTTGGGGGAGGCCCCTGCCCTCAAGGAGCTCACAGTCTGGGGGACAGAGTCACCGGTGACTTGAGCTTTAGGGCAGTGGGCAGCAGGCACAGATGCAGAAGGACAGAGGCAGAGGAGCAGCGTGGTGCTACAGACTGAAGCAATGGTGAACCAAAGGCTTCTGACTGAGTGTCCACTGGGTGCGGGCAATGCCAGGGGTCTGTGGATCATGAATTCACCTGTATTTCAAATGGCCCCGAATGCTGACAGGGTCTCCATTCCCAACTGTTACTAATAAGGAAACAGCCTCGAGAGGACTTGGCCATACATACGACTGCTAAATAGCAGAGCCAGGACGAGAAGCCCCATGGCTTCAAGGACACCCCCTACCTGTGGCCTCCAGTCAGGCAGAGGCTGGGTGACAGGCTCAAAGACCTGCAGCTGCTGGCTAGGTGTGTGGGTGAAGGGGCCAATAACTTCTCACCAGGCAGTGGTGAGCCATCAGTAGCTCCTGGCAACGCCAGGGCTACAATGACCTCACTTCTGCAGGGATGAGACAAATTCACTTAAAACTATGGAGTTGATCAAACACATTAGTGGGTAGTGAGATCAATTAAGTGGGTTACAACCAATATTTTTCTACAAGCTGAAACATTAAAAATAAAATTACAGAGCTTTGTGTGTTTTGAGGTAGGTTATCTTTCACAGACCTTTATTTTAGCATAACCTATTCGGAGAGATACAATGCCAAAAGAGATTCCTGCTGCGGAACACAGCCGAAATGTGTGAAGGAGGCTTGCATTCCCCCAGGCCACTGGGAGCTGCACTGAGGTGTGGGGACACACCCCAGTGCATCCTTCTCTACTCTGGACTGTGCTGTTAGCTTTTGTCATTTTTTGAAAAAAACTCAACACGTACATGGAGAATTGGTATGGATCCACTTTTAAAAAGCAAAAGCACTATGCAAGTAGTCTTCATCCTCCGTTTTCTCCCCCAAAGCCAGGCCACCACCAGGCTCTGCTAGCTGGGGGTACACAGCTCAGAGCTGGCGTTGCAGAGGAAGGGATGGAGACAGAGAAGGAGAGCTAAGCAGGACACTGAGAGCTGCACAGGAGGCTGAGGGCACCATGGACGGGCCTGGGAGCTTCTTAGCTACTCAAGGGGCTGCTCACTTCCGGAAAGCTTGAGGAGCAGATGTTCCCCTACCTGCCACGCTACTAATTTCAACAAGTGTGTGTCTTTCTAGCGGCTGCCAGCAACGGCATGGTTTGTTACCATGAGCAATTTTCTTAATTAACAGACATTAATTAGCCATTTAGCAATTTTGCAAGCATTTGTTTAGCGGCTTTCCTAAACATGAATACCACTGTGATAATGGCACTGATTAGAGGGTCCCCTAATTAACAGTACAGGGAAGGAAAATTGAAATCACATAAATTAAAAAGGGAGGGGAAGTTAATGAAGGCGGGACATATTTGCACCTGCAAGTCTTTTGTACCGTGAAACTTGGGTGTAATGTAAACAAAACAAGATAATTTGAAGCCAACCCCCAAAAAAGAAAATAAAAAGAGGAGGAGAGTTCAAGGGTGAGGTCCAGTTGCCAAGAGGGGCAAAGGCTTTCTGTCAGCTCCTTAGCTCCTGGCAACAAGGCAGTGCCTCCTCCCTCACCATACCCGTCTAGCTGCTGGCCAACTGCAGTGCCTTCCGGAGTGAGCAGCCTGGCACGAGGCAGGGCCCTCACACCTGTGTGCCCTATGGCCGGGAGGGCAGTACCGGCTGCTGCTCACCACTCACATAAAACCTAAGGCAGTGACCAAGTGTACCTGGCACACACGGATCAACACTCACAACCAATCTGAAGGGCTCACCCTGGAGACCCCTGAGGTTCAGAGGGCACAGCTGGTGTGCGCTCCATCGCTGCAGCCCTCAGAGGCTCCCTCAGAGGGTCTCAGTGGCAAGTGGGGTCTCAATGACTCAATACAAACCCAGGGAGCAAGGCTGGTCAGCGAGGTGCCAGCCTAAGCTGCCTTATCAGAGACTGGCTGTGAGTGAACAAAGAGGCTCTGAGCAGAGCTCTGAAGTCTCCCCATGGGCTTGCAGCTGGGTTTCAGAACACTGGGCACCAAGGGACCCAGAGCTGGCCAGCTACTCAGCACAGAGAAAATCCCATCATAGCCCAACCCTGCCCTTGTGCCCCTATTAGGTGTTGACCAGGCTCTGCTGAGAGCCAGCTCTACAGGCCAGAAGCAAAACCATCTCCCAGTGGGTCACCCATGTCCTGTGTCCCTACCATCTGTACTTAGCATGGCACTCTGTGCCTGGGCTATGTCCCTGCCCTGCACAGCCTGTACATCCTCAGGAGCAGAGAATGGAGGCCATGGTCAGAACCTATGCTCTGCAAGGAAAAAGACAGGCTTAACACCCTTTCCCAGGAGGAGGCAAGGACTCTACCACCATTCTCTTACGAGGCTGCAAAAAGTCCATCTCATCTTCCCTCCGAGGCAGCATTCTCAACTAGACCTTCAGTTAGACTCAGAGAAAGTGGACCTTATGGTCTTTTCAATTCATTTCCCTTGGGGGCAAAATGTCATACAGGAGGCAGACAAAAAAAGAAAGACCCTGTTAGAGGATTCTGACCTGTGTTGGGACGGGAGCCTCTCTCATCCTGAAGTCTGATAAGATGGGTCAGGCAGGTGGAGAGGGAGAAAGGAGGCCCAAGGCTGCTAGCCCAGATCTGTTTTCCCATGCAGGACACTTGAGTTTCAGCAGATCTGCTTAGAGTGCAGCTGCTGCAAGTTTTTGAGGGTCTCCAAACAAGTGAGTCTGGAAGGCAGCCTGGCCAGGACCAGCCTCAGGGGATGACCTACCCAGCTCATGAACTTGGAGGCTGGTTTTCTGTCACTGGTGCTGAGTAATATTGAGCCAGATGAGCGCAAACAAGCAGCCTCACCATACACTTAGGGAGAGCCGCAGCTGCCCGGCAGTCACTCATTCATTGTGTGGCCCTGACAGACTGTCATCTCTTCCTCCAATAGAGGGGGGACTTGTCCAAGGCCTCAGAGACCTAGCTAGCAGGCAGCTGAGCCAGGTGTCCTAACTCCAGCCAGGGCTCTCTTCACAACATCATGTCACCATCCCTATATATTTTTAAAAAGGAGAGCTTGGAAAGAAGTAGGTTTAGAACCTGGCTCTGCCACTGACTCCACTCTGTCCCTCTTAATGGTGAAATGAGCAATTAAGGTAACTGCAAAGATAGGTAAGGCCTCTGCCCACGCCAACTCACTCAGTCCTGGGCCCCTCCCAGTCGAGTCCATGGATCTCTTCACTTTGTGGCCAGTGAACTGGTTTCAGAAAGTGAAGCTGCTCATTAGGACGATGGAGTTACTGAACGGTGCAGCCTACGAGGGCCTGAGGTAGCTCATCACTCTACAAGCCTGTGAGTCCCAATTCTTCGTCCTACATCAATGTGTGGAGAGCCCAGAGCCCGTAAGACTGGAAGGGACACTGAGATATGGGTTCTGAACCACATGTGCCCAGCCAGTTCCATGCACAGGGCAGAGAGGCCCCAGACTCTTCTTGGCCTTGGCCTGGAGCTCCCAGGCCAGATGAGAAGAGGGATGTGCACCCAAGCTCAAACAAGCCTGAGTGCTGGCGTAACCTGCTAGGGACTCTGAAAGAAGCTGCCCTCCTAACTTCCCAATTGGGTAAACTGAGGCCCCAAAATGGCTACAGAATATAGGCCTCATCCCTCTAGAGCCATCAAGGAGCTTGGATGAGAACTAGGGTTCCCCCATGTCCCAGAACACTTTCCACTAAACTGCCCGGCTCTGTAGGGTGGTGGTAGACCTTATTCCCAGGGGGGACCCCAGTACAGGGAAATCCCTGCTCCTGAATCTTGCTAAAAAGGCAGGAAATGTGCCTTATTCCTGTGCAGCCTTCATGCTGCCCCAGACTCTGTTAACAGACTTGCCAATCTGTCTCAGCTGGCACCAAAATCTCTGACTGCAGATATCTGACCTCCACACTTCCTTTTTATCATTTTTCCTATAATTTCAGCACTGAGTAGTGTTACAGCCAGAAGCTTCTGACAGCCACTTAGGCAGGGCCCAGGAGGCTCTGTTGTGGGTGTGATTGAGGCAAATGCTTGGTGGTTTCATAACACACTGAGAGCTTAGTGAAAGGTCTTTATGGGCATCGCCACAATGGGGACAGAGTTCCCACAGTGGTGGATTGGAGGTCTCTGTGGAAAGGCTCTTCAGAACTGTCTACAGGAGCCCACCCTCCTGGTACATCTTACACCACCCCTGCAGCCACACTTGAGAGATGGGCTATGGCAGGTCAGGCAGATCTTCTTCAAGTAAGTGACATGGGCCTGGGCCCCAGCTCCTCTAGCATGTATGGCGAATCCAGTTGCCAACAACCCTGAGCTTGGCCTCCTGAGGGAACCGGAACCAGGCCACGGACACTACAGGGGTACAGGCCAGCTGACAGTGTGTGTGGGACAGGAAGTCCAGGCTCTATGCTCTCGGCAGGCTCCTGAGAGCCAGGAGAGTGTTCTGCAAACCGCAGAGGCTGCACCATTACTATACATGCCAAATCTGCCTTTTGTC